TTTAGGTTTTGTTTGTGGAGCAGCTCTTACAGAGGAGGAATACTACAGCACATCAAAGTTTAGTTGTATATGTTCCTTCCATGAGTCAGTGGCACAAGTAGGAAATAGAGTTCATGATTATTGTTAGTCCCAGGGACATTTCATCCCAAGAATAGGCTCATCTACTTTGGTCCCTGAACAATACCCTGTCCTTATATAGCTTTTAAAAAGAATCATTGCACAGCAGCAGAGTTATCTGATTGCCAAATATGATGGTAGGCATTTTTTATCTCTGCAAGCATGTTGACAGGAACCTTTGGTTTCCTTTGCTTCCTCTAAAGTGCTGAGGAATACTCCATTGTTCACATTATCTGACTGCATTCTACACCTGTAGATTTCTAAAAAAGAAATGTTGGGGTTTTTGTTGTTTGGGGTTTTTTTGTTTGTTTTTTCTTGTGGAAGTGTTATTGTTTGGGGGGGATTTTTTTTATTGTGGATTTTTTCTTTTTTTGTGTTGTGGGCTTTTTTACTAATTCTTTTTCCTATGTTTCCTGTCTCTGAGAAGGGAAGTTCTGTAAGAGGAAGGAGGGTGAATGAGTCAGGGCTATACTGGATTATCAAGAGTGAACCACTACCAGCATGTATAATTTTTAGTCTTGATCCTCTGTCTTCTGGAGTTCTTAAAAAATTCACATATTTCTTCTGATTTTTTTTCTCTTCTGTGTTTTGTCCTGGACTTAGTGCATTCTTATTTGAGTCCCTTATCAGTAGCTAATGGCAGAAGTTTCATCTGTCAAAGGGGTTTTATGAGCAGCTCTGATTGTCCTCATGGTGGCAAAATACAAATGGGAAATAATTTGTAAAGAGCTTTTTTCACACAATGGAAATCTGAATCACAAAACGTAAATTCTCAACTCTGGGAGAGTGGAGTGACAGAGCTCAGCACATGGGCCTTCATTTCCTTCTTTTGTACCTGAATCACAAGAGTCTGTTCTGTTCCTTTGGATTAGTAACATGTATTATGTAGAATATTTGTGTTTTACCACAGTCGAGCATATGGATCTGAAATCTGTTTTGAATAGAACTAATTAAGTGAAATGACTCTGTGCATATGCTTTGGATTTTGAGGCTTTAATATTTGGGGGGGGGGGGGGGAGTGGATTTTTAGCAGTCAAAATAAATAATTCACCTTATGAAATTCACATTTCAAACTTTCTTTCATCTTAGTTCTATGCAGCTTTGCCAGCTGAGAGAGCTGTCTTTGTATGATTACTCTGTAAAATGATTATAGAGAAATTATCTGGTATTTAGGAGTAGTTTGCTGTACTTATGTGAAAGTTCTATCTGGAAAATATTCTTAGCTGCCAAACAGATTTTATTCTAACTCTAGAATCTGTTTTTCCATGCCCCGTGATTGAGTTATATGTTATGAGTTGGAAAGTTGGTGTAGTGCTTATTACAGCAGGTGATTGTTTAGCAAAGTGTATCAATGTGAGTGCAGAAAGATTAAACACTTCCTAGATGCAATGAAGAAGGAAATCCTGCAATAACCTAATTTTTGGAATGACATAAGTAACTGCAGAGATGTGCATAGTCCTTTGCCAGACTGGAGGGGTTTTCTTCAGAAATAGTTGTAGTTGTAAAATTATTATTTTTCATGGGCATAGTAATATATAGGCATGAAAGCAGAAATGATATGTACATGTAGTATGTAGGTAGATATAAAAATTTTCAAGTTTTTGCTGGAGTAACAAGTATGTATTGCTAAAATGACTTTGTCTTGGGTATTGTCTGTGACATCAGTAATTCTGAAGAACCAGGGCACAGATGGATGCTTTGCTTTGTGTATTTATGCACAGGCTGGATCTGCTGTGTGGTTTTGTTCAGAGCTCTCCAAGTTTGGAGCTCTCTGAGCGTTTTGTTCTGCTCATCCATGTCCTGCAGTAAATGCAGGACTCAGGTGTTCCTTCCACCTTGTCACTAAAGCCAGTGGCAGAAAGGAAGTGACACTGCCTAATTCCCTGTCCACTCCTGTCTGCTGGACCACACTGCCTTCCAGCAAGTAAAATTCACTTCATACAGTGATTAAAAAGTTGACACAGCCAAAACTTATCCATGTTGTTGCATGCTGATCATGCTTCACTTGATTTTTCAGTAGATGCAGGAGGGTAGGACTGTTTTCAGACCTCCTACTACTCAGCTGCTGCTGTTTTGGTTTGGCTGGGATGTCACAGTATCTCCATTATCAAGCCTGGTTTTCACATTGCATATGACTGGTATTTAAAAAGTCCTTCAGTTATCAAATCTTTACAGTATTCTCTAGCCTGACCTCACTTCTGACAGTTGAAGAGAAAACTGATTCAGAATATAGTAATTTGCTGAGAAGTGAAGAAACCCAAAATTCTTGTCTTCAGGCTTTGTTTTCTCTATTTAGAAGTCTTGCTGATGAGGTATAACTTCAAAAGACAAATTCATTTTAAAATGAAAAAAAAAAAGCATTTTTCTCATTAACTGAAAGATGCTTACTGATTCAGTGGATCTTTACAATTTTATACTGATTCAGTAGATCTTTACAAGTTTATTCAAATTTTTACTCTTAGGTATCTTAGGTGTTCTGGAGTTGATTCAGACCATGTTGGTTGTTCAGTAGATCTGTCATGGGCAAATGTCAGAATCTGTGGTATTGATTCCAAGATTGCAGAAAGTCTCTGTCTGTCAGCTCCACTGCCAAAGCAGAAGCCATAATTGGTCTGTGCTGTTTCAAGGTTGTTTATTCTGTTTATCTCTAACATGTTCTGCTGCCCTGCCGCAGCTCTGTCCTGCAGGGCAGCGTGTGGGGCTCTGCCCTCAGTGGGATGGTACAAACATTAAATACCACAAACTACCTGTGCTGGATTTACAATAACGTGCCAATATCTGTCACCTACGTTGGACAGTGTGTCCCCAGCCTGAACCAACAGAAAAATGCCAACACCACAGTGAAACATGGAGGGCATGAAGAAGGAGAAAAAGGACAAGACACACCCAACTTCCTCCATCTTGTCCCCTCTGAACCCCTAATCTAGAATCCTAAAATTTTACTTTTGCACCCGTGTCACACTTAATTATTGCTTATATCAAACCCTCAGAGCTTGTAATTCATCCTGTAAGATTGAAAACTCTTTTCCATGGGCAGAGATCACAGCCAGTGTCTCTGGGGGCTCTGTCCAGGGGGGTTCCTGACCCCTGCCAGGGTCCCAGGGCAGCCAGAGGGATGCTCTGGATTCCCACAGTGGGACACTGGTTTTTCCAGGCAAGGCAGAGCTCTGCTCAAACTCGCACTGAGTTGTGTTCGTGTTTAATCTTGGGTCTAGGGCAGGCTGAGGAAGCCACATAAAAAAAGCTGCTGCTTGCTCCTCTGCATCAGGCTTGAGTTCTGAGGAGTAAAATAATAAAGAACACCTGGGTGCAATTAAAATACTAAGGAAATAGGAAGGGGGATAGCAAGGAACTATTGAGCATCCTAATTATAGACATCTGATTTTACTGAAGGAATTAGAGGGCTCTGAATGACTTAGCCCTATAGCCATTCTTACTCTTGAGTGAAGTAAGTGTATTCACTCACTTTGCTTTCTTTATTTTAAATTACCTATGTTTTCACAGCAACTTTATCATCATCTTCTTGGTAGTAAAACCAATAGTAAATCTGCAACACAGCTTCCACAGAAATCTCTACTATAAAGGTGTACTATAAATAATTACCACCTCAGTGCTAAATTGAGTGTTCTTTTAGGAAGACCCCAAGAAATATGTTCAACTAAAATAAATGTCTATCTTAATACTGCCATGTGTCAAGGAACGTAAGAATAAGTTTGAATTTATTTAAAATACTGTCTTTAAACAGACTATAAATTACATGTTTGATAAGCATTTTAGTGTTTAATTTCATTAAATTACTTGAGTTATTTTCAAATAATACCTGAGATGGTTAAAGCTGAACCGGCTTGACATACATGGGTCACTTCTAACACATTAAAATACTCCAGTGGAATTCACAAGAATACTTCATCAGAAACTGCTCAAGTCTCCTTTATTTTGTATATTAGCCTGGGAAATGGAAATGGCCCTCTTTTTTCCTGCAAGGAGCATCAAGGAATCTTCAGGCATAAGCTCTTATAAAGTTTCCTTCTTTCTTTTCTCCTCTCCTCACAATTTCCTACAGATTTTTCTGTACAAAAGGATTATTTGCATTTAAGGCTTATTTGTTCTTTGCAGTATACTAGATGGGATTTTTTGCCAGAAGCTAAGTAATTTTTGATTAACTGATACAAGCCTGGAAAATGTATGAAAATGAGGCAGTAGCAAAAAAGCTTGATTTTTTTTGTTTTGTTTTATTTTCAACAAGTTAGATTGTTTATAATATGCTAGTGAATGCAAGTTTTAACTAGAGAGCATTTGAAAGGAGAACAAGAAGTAGATACACTAAGAGAAAGGTGAAAAAAATAAAAATAATAAAACTATAATAGGAAGAAGCAGTAAATCTACTTCTATGCCATGTTTATATTTATAGAAACCTAGAATGAAACAGGTTTGTTGTCACATGCAAAACTATACTTTTAGGTTTTTGCTTGTGGGGTAGTTTTTCTTTGTTCATTTGGGCTTTTTTTAAATGTATAAGCTGTCTAATTAGTATAAATTCTTGCTTCTGCAATGAGTAAATGAAATAGAAGCACGCAAGCGTAATGCACAAGAAATGTATCTGAATATGAAGTTGAGAACTCAAATTTTTCTGTTGCCAAAAAGTGGTTTTATATTCATGGAGACACGATAAATATGTCCTCAGAAGCCCATCAAAACACAAACCACTGGTTTGTATTTCTTTGTGTTTTCAGTTGAAAGCTCAGTGGGTTTTTTTTGTGTGTCACACAGTGATTGTTATACAAATACATGGGATATGTGAAATACTGAAAGATTGATCAAATTTATTAAATTTGAAGGAGTTAATGTGATTTTTTTTTTCCCCATCCCAATTCTATCTGCAGGAGAAACCTTACGAAGCTGTCTCTCATCTTCAGCCACATGTTAGCAGAAATCAAGGCTATTTTTCCAAATGGACAATTCCAGGGTGACAATTTTCGTATCACCAAAGCCGATGCTGCAGATTTCTGGAGAAAATTCTTTGGAGATAAGTAAGTAACCTTTGTATAATCCTCAGTTCTTTCTAAACATAAGCATTAAAAAATGAATTTTTCAAAAATCCAAATAAGGGTTGGTGGGTGTTTTGATGATAATTTCTCATCTAGATCTTTATATTGGCTGAAATTGCTGAGTTCATTGTTAGTGGTTTTTTTTCTAATCCCGTAATTTGCTCAAAGGTTGTTTTGTCAATAGTATTTAAGTTGAGTATTACTGCAAGAATTTTATTTGTACCATTGTAGGGTGAAGTTAGTACATTGTTCTCATAAAGTATATGCCAAATAATGCCCTTTCATATTAAAAATATATATATTCTACAAACGAATACTCTAAAGTTTGAATTAGGAACTTGATATTAGTTTCATGGACAGTGTGTTTCCTTATCTCACCTTTCTAACTACGACAGTATTTGATGGAATGAAGTGTGTGAAATGTAGATATGTGATTTATTCCATGCAGGAAATGCAGTAGTGAAAATGTAAAACTAGGCAGATGTGGGATTTTTATTGTTTCTGGGAAAAAAGAATCCAGTTTGAATACACATATAAGCTAGTAGAAGATGTGCAGCTTGTTCACTTTCTCCTATGGAAGGTTTTTAAGTGCAGCAGTGACATAAGAGGAATGCCAGGGGCAATAGTTTGGTGTATTTTTCATTATAACAGAGCAGTCATTATGGTCATCAGCTCTGGTATCTTGCACAATGTAGGCAGAATAATTTCTGCAACAATCTGTTGCATCTTCTGAGCATAAACAGCTCTTTAAAGTAAGTAATTTTTTATTTAGAATACCAGCATAGTAGGTTGGCACTTTTGCAAATCAGTTCTGTTCAGTGTGAATTTGTGAGTTTCACTTCCATGTTTTTTGGGGGTTTTTTTGTTAGTCTAAACACACTCACTGTCAACTTTCCTCTTTCTGGGTTCATGGTAGTGTTTTCTGGTGATTTCTTTCCCAAGTAAGTAATGTCAGAGTGTGATGAAGTTGCTATATCAGTCCTCTGTTTTGATAGAGAAAAGGAATTTAACCGTGTTCTGTGTTACCCATTTTAATGTGAATATAATTTTCAAAATAACTTCAAAAGTTCAGCTAAAGTTTTCTGAAGGATTAACTTAAGTGACATGTAGGGTTCTTTATCAGACAAGGCTTTTCAAAAACATGTCAGTCAAGAAAAGAAAAACAGGATCTTTGATAAAATGACTAATGATCATGTTTGTTCAGTATTGCTATTTTTTCTTCCTCTCTTTTTCCCCTTTGCATAGGAACTCACAGAATTTAAATGTCTTGGTGGTACTTCTCTTTTCCTGTTGGGTTCTGTCCTTGAATGACCTTTAGCAGATGTCTTGATTGCAAACTGCATTTCTGCATTAGAATTTACAGCTGCTGTTTCTTTCCATCATTTCATCTGAGCCAATTTTCCTCATCTCCCCTGTTCTCTGTACTCTTTTTGGGATTCTCCACTGACTTCTACTGGCTGTGGGACTTTGAAGAGATTTTTCCTTCAAGTTTCCTTCCAATTCTCTGCTCCAGTTAGTTTCCATTGGGAGATGACACAATGGATAGGTGTTTGAGGTGTCAGGCAGTGGGATTCTGTAACATATTAATCAGTTTTTATCAGAACAAGGTTGGTAAGGAGAGTCTTTCAACTGCATCGCTTCATCTGAACAACTCAGCTCTGCCCTTCTCTTTTTCTTGCACACACTTAATCTCTTCCCACTCATCTCCTCTTATTTCTAAATCCTTTCATTATCCCAGAGTTCTTGCCATGCCTCTTCTAGGCTTTGTTTTTTTCCTGCTTATTTAATTTTCTCTATAGAATGCAACTTCACCTATGAACCCTCTGACCTTCTCTGCTCTCCCCTATGTACTTTGATAGGGTTTTTTTGGGTTTTTTTGGTGGTTTTGTTTTGTTTTGTTTTGTTTTTTTTTTCCTTTGGTTGTTTCTTTAAGGGAGGGTGACTGGATGTATGGATTTTGTTGGCTTTTTGCCTGAGACATCAATTCATCCAAAATGTTGAAGAATCAAGGCACTTTTGTGATATGCAGTTAAATATATGTCTTTGGTTTTATAGTGTAGCCTGATTTTTTTTTTTTTTTTGAGTTATTTTTGGTGCTTTACTTTCAGACCAAGTAAATAAGCATTGTTACTGGTTCCCAGCTTTTCACCAATAAAGTGAAGCTGGTTTTGATCCTGTCTTCCAAGCAAGGAGCAGTAGATCTGTGCTTGGCAGCCTTGCCATTACCTCAGGTTTAGTTAACTGTGCTTAAGTAACTATAAAACATGTAGCAGCAGATATGTCAAACAAACAGACAAGAAAAAAAGTTTTTTTGGCATTATGCTTAATCTCTTTGTTTAACAAAATGCTTGAAGCTTTTTAAACATTAATTATTTTCTAATCCTTTTAGAAATATATGGCAGTTATACCTGTAAGCCACATCTTTAGCATGGACCTGTTGTGACAAATTAGTTTGCAAATATGCTGGTATCACTTCCCTAAAAGCAAAGCCTGCAGAAAGGTTTTGCAAATGACTCATAATACATTTCTCTCACCTAAAGGTAGGCCCCTAGGACTTTCTGAAACCCCCAACTCTCCTTTGGCATTGCAGGGAGGAGCTGGATTTTGTGTTCCTGGCTGTAGCTCTGTCTGCAGGGCAAGCCTGGACCCCTCACTCATTCCTGAGCAGCAGCCCTTACTTTGGGTTACTAATGCTGCTCAAGATTAGAGCATGAATAAAAAGTTAGTTGTGCTGGATCTTGGCTTCTGATGGTAAGCTACAGTACAAAAAATATTTCTATTGCAGTTTGATCTGATTAGAAGGAGGGAATTTGAAGTATTAGATTAATTCATGATTTTTTCAACATAGTATTATCATAAAAACCTTCCTGTTTCTAAACGTAATGAATTGGATGATTTAATCAACTTTTTGCACTCATTTCATCCTGAAATAATAATTTTTTAAATTTTTAATTTGAAATATTGTAAGTGGCAATAAGGCCACAATAGTAATTTATATTTTTAAGTTGACTGGCTTTCAGTTATTGAAAATGTGACCTACACTTCCTTTTACAGGAAGCAGCACGTTACAGTTTGCTGAAGACTGAAATCCAATCATACAGTGTTCATGAGTCCAGTTTGTACTTGGAAAAAAAAAAAAAAAAGGAACAATTGTTTTTTCCACTGCTCTTTTCCATCCACTTCATTCCAGTGAATGAGGAACTTTTAATTTTTTTGGTTATATTTGTCTGTCTGAACACTTGCTGCAAAATGGTGCAGCTGCAACTAAGTTTATTTATCCTGTTACTAATAAGTGTCATAGTCTGCAGTCTTTCTTTTTGTGTTTAGAGCTAGTCAGGTGTAAATTCATGTGGCTTCAAACTCATGAGCAAAACAAATATCTGGGCTGTTTGGATCATACCTCTAGCTGCTCTTTGGAGTTCTGTTGAAAACACTGTGTAGAACTGAGTCTACAGTGTGTACACTGAGTGTAGAACTCAGCAAGCAATTGGAATGGCTCCCTCAGAGCAAAGTGCTGAAAAAGCCACATATTCTTGGCATTTGAATGCCTTCTCAGCTTTCACATTGCTGGTAAACCCCTAAAAAACTTCTAGACAAGGCCAGAAGTTGGAGAAGCTTCTCTGGGAGAGAATGCTTTGTGAGAGCAGCAGATATATCAACAAGGGAAATCATCAATATCAATACATCATAATATATATCAATAAGGAAAGCCCTCACACAGGAAGAAAGTGTAAAGCCCTTACAATTGTGAAGTTTTTCCAGTATTGCACAATTCAGAGGAAAATGGGAGACCCTGGAAGTTACAGGATGCTTAGAAAGGATCTGGAGACACAGTGTGGGGTTTAGGAGTGTACAGTGTATATCAATACAGAAAGGTGGGAGATAATGAGATTTTGATTGTCTGGATGGAAGGAGAAGGAATAGTTGTATGAAGGAAAAAGTGGAGGTATTGATTTCTCTGCAAGGACATAGTAAAGCATGTACCCAAATTAGGGGGTAGGTGAAGGAGTCAGCAGTGTTCAATAGATGGCCTGGGATTATTTTGGTTATGGATTTTGTTAAAGGAAGGTAACAGAGAAAAGATATCAGGGAGATGTGGACTAGACTATTTGGATTTGCTTTCTGAAAGCAAAATTCAGGAGTGAGTGAGTGAGAACATTCCAAAGGCTGAATGCCTGGAATAGGTTGTCTCTGGCATTTTCACAGGCTATGTGGAAAAAAGAGAACCTCTTGAAGAATAAAAAGGACCTGACTGAAGGAGAACTAAGAAATAAATTGGCACAAGCTTCATCTATAGCAAGAAAGAACTTGATAATGTCAAAAGCAGGAGAGTGGTTGAAGTTGAAGATGTGATTTTTTTGAATTTGTAGTGATTGTTGGAGTACCAATTTGAGCAAGTGGTTTCAGGGGAGTGAATCTTCACCCCTGGTTCACCATTACAGCTGTGCTGAAGCAAGTGCTGGTTGCATGTTAACATTACTGCTAAGCAGTAATGGTCAGTGCAACTGGGGAATTGTAAGGCATGTAATCACTTGCATTTGTTTACAGATATTTTAGTAACCCCCCCAGTGGGTTGTAAATATGCATATAAAACACAATCTGATAGCATCTTCATTATTTTATTGCTGTATAGTGCTTGAATAGAATTTCCCTTGATTTCTCAATCATTTTGTTAGCACTTTACATCTTTTACTGTTTTGGTGGGGTTTTTTTTTTGTTGGTTTTGTTTTGTTTTGGTTTTTGTGGGGTTTTTTTCGGTTTTTTAGGGGTTTTTTTGTTTGTTTGTTTGTTTTTGTTTTGTTTTTTTGTTTTTTTGTTTTTTTCTGAGTAGAAATGTGCAAAATGCCACAGGGAGCAATCCTGAACAGAGAAGGAGAGTAGGCAAGATGACCTAACAGATCTTTCAGCTTCTGAATTTGAAAACTACAGAAGTCATGCAGGGCTTGGCAACTATTGAAATTTGTTAGACAAATTTGTGATTT